CTACCATTTCTTGAGAGCCTACAGTGGACCAGCCCTGTGTTTGTTATTCACTCGTACACAGGGCACACATGGGAAAGGCAGGTGTGAATTACACACTTTAGTTTCCTCATACACCGTATGCAGATAATAACGCCTACATCATAGTGTTAGATAGGACAAGGGTTTTAAGGTCTAGACAGTTGCTACTGAATGGTATTCCTGCTAAATGTTAAAATGTACCCCAGTATTTTGCAGTTGTAACTATAACCTGATGAACTTGACCAGAACCCAACCAGATAAGTTGCAAAGAAGAAGTCAACACGTAATTAACAAAATCCATATAAGTTTGAAAAAAAGAAAAAAAGAAAGACGAGAATAAGAAAAAAAATTCTGTATAAGTTTAGCTAACTGCCAAGAAGAAATCAACATGTAATTAACCAAATAGTGTGTATAAGCCTCCCTTCAGGGAGACAGAGCTTTGGAGGTGAACCCCATGTCTCTTTTACTTGCTGCAAGTAAATAAAACTACTTAACGACAACCATGTCTCATCTTGTTCTTGAATAGAACACCCCAAGCTGGGAACCCCTTGAGTTTGGTAACAATAGGGTGCTCTGAACATATGAGAGCTAAGACAAGTAAGAAGTTTCGTCTTCTCCCCCGGAGTCTGATCTCTGGCCCTGTCAACTAACTAGCTGCGTGACCCTAGGCATGTGTCTTAACTTTCCAGCTTATTTCCTCATCTGCAATATGTGCTAATATTGGGTCGTCGGAAAAGTCATGATGTATTTTTCTCTGTTTTTCAATGCAAAAATTCGTCACGACTTTCCCGACAACCCAATAATAATAATACCTATCTTATAGGGTTGATATGAGGATTAAAGGAGCTAATGCATTTAAAGGACTTAGTACAAGATGCCTGGCACACAGTAAGCTCTTAATAAATCACAGCTGTAACAATTTTTATTTTTGTTACTATTATGGAAGGATCAGAAGAAGAAGAAGATTCAGCAAAGGAGACTGAGAAGTGGATACCAAAAAGGTCAGGGAGTGGGGAACATAAGAGAAGGGTGTCATGGAAACTGTTTGAAAAGGCCCTAGTCTTTTCTGTCAAAGACAGCAAAGTTTCAAAATACATTTCCTCTTTCTCACTATTGCTTAAGTAGTCCCAGTTAAAATATACTTTCTCACTATTGTGTAGTGGTTCAAAAATATATTTTCTCAATATTGTGTAGTAGTTTCAGTTAAAAATATACTTTCTCACCATTGTGTAGTAGTTCCTTATTTTCAAGCTTACCTAATCTTGTAACTAGGCAGATCCTGCTTTTCTATTAGCCAATCAGTTTAGATCATAAGGTCACACTCTAGCCAATAGAGTATGACATAGTGACACCTGCGTTAGGAATAAAAACCGAGTGGAGTTCCCACTCAGTGTGCTTGCTAGACCGGCTTACGGTGGCTCTGCACCCTTCTGCAGAAGTAAAGTTGGCCTTGCTGAGTTACTTTTGACTTCATGTGTCTTTATTTGTGACACGGCTAAAATCTGTTCCCAACAAAACCAAGGGAAAAGAATGCCAGGATGGAGGGAGACAGAATGCAAAAGGGCATTCAGAGACCTGTTTCTTCTGACAAAAGAGTGATTTTCATCTCTTAGAGATGAATGAGAATGAAAGCAGAAAGGAAGAAAATAAACCCTTAGTTTGAAATGAAGCCTTTTTTTAGGCTAACCCCATTAGCCTGATCTGAATGCCCAGGTATCGGTTCCATGTCTTCTAATTAGGGAGAAGGAGTATTTCTTGAGCAAAGGAAAAGCCAGTGCCACACAAATTAAATTTTAAAAGAAATGTCAGGTTGGTAAAAATTCAGACAATCTCAAATTTATACAACAAAGAGAAGGATGAGGAAAGGAGGAAACTGGATAAATCACAGAACAGGTTTTCAGAGCAGTGGGGTCTATACTGGAGCCTCAAGATAACACAAACAAAAAGAAAGTTAGTGGTAAGGATGAAAGTTCTTTATTTTTCATTTCATCTTTCTATACTACCTGGTGCCAGAAAGAAATTATGACAGCATAAACCGTGTCATTAGGCAAATATTCAACAAGTGTTTATGTAGAGTAAAATTGAGAAAAAATGAGCAGGAAGTGGAATGATAGTCTAATCTGGACTAGATAAAGAAGGTAGATATCTCCTAAGGGTAGATTTAGTGAGGAGAAGAGAGGAATTAAGGGTTAAAACCTGTGTGAGCTGGGAAGTGTGAAGGGTGGGCCTGTGGCTTTGGGGGCCTGAGTGGAGCTGCCACTTGTCTGGGGGTCAGGGAGAGATCCCCTTTGGCTCTGGAGAGATTGAGATGGCTGTCAGGGTCCCAGAGTTGCCCTGAAGAGATGCAAAGAGTGGCTTTGCTCTTGGCCAGTTCTCAGCTGGGTTTGAGGCAGAGGGGTGTTGATGAAAAATATCCAACCTAAGAGAAAACTTATAAGAGTTTATTTGAGCCAAACTGTCAACCATTGCAAGGAAGCAAAATCTCACGGATTGAGAAAATGCTCCGCAAAATGGCAGTTTGCAGTTTATTTTATACATAAAATCAAAGGAGAAAGGTTACATGAAATCCATTGGTGATAGATTAAGAGGGTGGGAGAAAGCAAAGAGTGGAAATCTCTGGGATTGGATAAAAGTACATTGGAGAGACAGGTACTCCTCCCCCACAGGTGGGTGCAGGATAGCTAACAGTTCCTTTTATACAGCACATAGAGATGGTGATCAGGCGACAAGCATGATAATGAGGCATTTTGCAGTTTCCAGCTCTGGTCTGGAAAAAGGATTAAAGATGTTATCTTAGGTACAAAAAGACAAAGAACAGGCCCACTGAAAAGGCACAGATTAATTAACGAGGAAGCTCGAGATGTGACTTCCCACCATGGCCCACCTTAGTTAGGAATTTTTATGCTCACACCATCCTCTGTGGTTATTTTCAGTCTCCTGAGCTTGTCAGGTTTAACATGTGGCCCCTTTTCCATCCACAGGGGCCTTCCCAGTCTCCTGTCTGTGAGGGTTGAGGCTGAGGCTTAAGTCAAACATGGAATGTGGGGTAGGGAGAGGTCCTGGCAAGGCATGGGAGGTGGACACTCCACCCCACTCCACCAAGAGATGAGTGTGGCTGTGGGCAGGGACAGGGAGTTGTAAGGTCAGATTGTGGAGTCATGGATGGAACAAGAGCAAGAAGCCAGGGAGGATCTGAGGGACTGTTCCTGGAAAGAGAAGCACTTTCAAAGCAGGTTCTGGGCAGAGCAGCCTAGGGAAGGCTCCATTGGCTTCTTATAGCCCCTGACTTCTCCCCCTCCCTAAGGGCCCCTTTGTTCCTGTGACTGGCACATCAATTGCTAATGTAATTAGAACCGCAATACCTCTCCCTGGGCCCCTCAACCGGTGCAATTCCTGATACAACACAGTCCAAAATTCTGTATGAAACCCTGGAATTTGCAGTGCCTGCCAGTCTTCCTGTCCCCGTCAATATTGATGTGTGTCTCCCAGGTCACCATGACCTCTTACTACACAGCTTTGTGCTTTTCCCCTGAAATACTACTCCCACTGCTGCACATTCTGTTCTCTCAGCTCTGCGGAGCACCAATTTCCTGTATCACAAACTCCTTCAGGTCCTCAGTTCTGCATCTTAAATTCACTTCCCAACCCTTGCCTTAAATGCAATTATCTCCAGCCTTGTCCTACTCACAGAGATAGGGATTTAGGCACCTACAGGAGACATAAGGACTCACTGGCCCTGAGGTCACACATATCCCTTTTTTTTTAAGATTTTTATTGGGGAATTCGGGGGATGGGAACAGTGCTGGGGAATTGGGGGAAGGGGAACAGACAAGTTGGTGTCCTTTTGTTCTTCAGTCTAGTTGTGGAGGACGTTGCTTCACTGGCCCAAGTTGGCACCATCATTGCGCTCTTCCCGGGCAAGGCAGATCAGTCGCTGGCTTCTAGACAGCCTCTCACGGCGGCTGCTGGCTACACATGGTAGCCCATGGCAACCCACTGCCACAAGGGCTGCAGCCTACACCTTCGCTGGTGACTCACGGCAGCCCAGCTCCAGGTTGAACTGTTGTTCAGCATCTTAGCTGTAGAGGGCAGTGTCACTAGCCCTCATATGTGGGATCCGAACCGGGACCCTCTGGCGTCCCAAGCCAGTTCTTAACCATCGTGCCACTCGGCCGGCCCGCACATATCCTTTTTAAATCACCCTCCAATATGAGATTAGGAGAGGGAACAGGGCAGGTTCCAGGAAGATCCCTCTCTTCCTCCTTACCCCAGAATGCCCTCCACTCTAAAATGGCGTGGAGTGCTTCTTGGGTTTCTGATCCCCATGTTCCTTCACACGACCTGGCCACTAGGTTGCTTTTCACCTCTCCCCTGCTATTCCTAATTCTCGGGTTGGAGTGGGGTTGGCTTGGTGTCCTGGGCTGCCTGTGGCCTCTAGAACTCTAGGTTCAAGGCTTACGGGGGTGTGTGGCTCTGGTACTATCAGCTGAGCCTCTATCTCCTTTCCTTAACTGGACAGTGGGGAGAGGGCAGTTTCAGCCCACAGGAGACAGATTACTGTTTGTGACCACAACGTCATCTAGAAGCAGCAGCAGCAGCAGCAGCAATCTAAGAAATCTACCCAGAGGAGGAAGAGCTGCCCCTCCCCAAAGGGACCAGGAATGGGGCTCTTGGGATCCCCACTTTGGGATGTAGCCTCAGCACCAAACTCTCCAGCCATCAGACTTCTCTGAATTCATTAAAGAAGCACGCGCTAGGGAAGTTTCAGCTACTGGGTGCCATAGTTTGGCTCTATGACCTAAGGGACAAGTTGTTTACTACTGTCCATTTACCCTTGGGAAATATTATAGCCCATTTCTTCTTCCCTTTTCCTCATCTGCAAAATGAGGTTGCTAAAAACCCCACCTCGGAGTACCAGTGCACCCCTTTATAGATTTTTACTGTATTCACTTTTCTTAAAACGATACCAGAGACATTAAAAATAGATGCTGATATATATTTATTGACATAGAAAGAAGCCCACAACATATATTGTTTGGTGAAAAAATACAGACTGTAGAACAGCACTTACATTTGATCACTTTTATCTATACATATCTCTATCTGGGTACACAGGTATAGGGAAATACGTAGGACATTCATCAAAGGGTTAATGATGGTTATATAACAGTAGAGGGTTTGGGGTAATTTGTACTTTACTTTTTGTACTTTGTTGTTTGAAGATTTAACAGTGAATTATACCACTTTCACAAAGAGAATAAAGCCATCAAGGAAATGTGCACACACAGAAAATAGATGCTAGGCAGCAGGGGTGGGGGTGGGGGAGCAAGGACAGAGGTCAGGCCATGTCTGACCACTGTGCTGGTATCCAACACCCTATCTCCTCCACCCCAAAAGAAAGCCGCTTTGTGGATTAAGTCATGCAGTTAGAAGTGGGCTTCCCCCCTCCCCAGTTTGCCCATCGCTGGATTCTGAATATAGTTTAGGGTTCACTTAAGGCTGGGGGCTAGCACTTCACTGTCGTTGAGCTCATCAGGGGTCCCACGTGACTCCTCCTTCTCAGTATGTGTCAGTTCCTGCAGGGTGACAATCAGATTTTCAAACATCTGGGCCTTGTTGCTCTCATTGTCACAGGTTTCCTTTGAGTGGCCCACCTCGCCACAATGTGAACAGCGGATTACATATTTTCGCTTCCTGGCTCTACGCATATCCCCAGGACCACCATTCTTATACTCAGAACCCCCACTGGTCAAAGGAGATTGAGCCTGGGAAGTGTTGGGGGAATCAATGACTAGCACTTGATCCCAAGGCCTGGCTCTGCCTCTGGAGGGAGAACCTGAGAATGAAAGTGGGGGGTCCTGAGCCTCCACCAGGATCACATCCTCATCTGAATCATCAAGACTATCTTCTATCTCTATCACGTTGCAGTCAGCACTGCTGATCACTATTGGTAGGGAGCCCTGAAATGCCACTGGGCTGGTTGCCCTCTCCACCATTGACTCAGATCTTTTGGCCCGCTTCCATTTAATAAAATTGTCATCCCAATCCTCTTCTTCCCTTATCATTTTGATTAACTCCATGAAATTGGGAAGACGCTCCTGCTCATTTGTGTACATCCTGAGAAGATGCTTCAGCCTGTAGCGCAGGTCCCCATTCAGCTCAGCCCCTAAAAGGAGCTGGTGCAGGCGAGTCTGGTTTGCATCTTTCTCAGCTATGATCCCTGCCTGAATAGCGTTCTGGAGCTGCACCTCTAAACGAATCACATAAAGGGAGGCTTTCTCCCCTTGTGCCTGCAGAGTGTTAAAAAATTTACCATGAGCAGTCACACTACTTTCAGACTCCCCGAATACCAATTTCATTGCGTGCAAGAAATCTGCCACACTTAGGTTGGGGTTGGCCGCCTGGAGCAAACGCATGACCTCACGGGCGGGGCCCCTAAGGGTTTTCAGCAAGCGTTTGAGCTTTTCCTCCTCGGACGTATTCCAATCTGGCAAGACCCCATTGATTTGGATCAGCCAGTTTTCAAAGGTTTCTTCCCCCTGGGCTGGCACCACCCTCCCCGAGAACAATTTCGTGTTTCTCTCTGCCATGTTGGCCATTAAAGGACCAAGACTCCTCCCCAGGGATCTCAGCATAGAATAAGCCCACGGAGGCAAGGGTGCGTTCTGCGGCCGGCTGTCACCCACGCGTGCAATGATGCTAGCCATGACCGACGACGATCGCGTATCTGAATACAACAAGATGTTCGGACTTTTTGGAAAAGCCTAATCTGCAGGCGTAGGAGGGATCCGCCTTCCTCCTATCTCAGTGGGGACTGTGAAAAGGAAAAAAAACAATAGCGGAAGCGGGATTAATGGGGGGAGGGGGGAATAAGGATGCAGTTGTTTTAGCTCCCTTCCTGAATATCCTGCAGTACATTTTATATCTGTACACTGCCCTGGTATCCTCCAGGAGACTGGCAATTACAACCTCATGGAGCCAGCCGGTGTGTCCGTGTTAGCAGGGAGCTTTCAACAGCCACAACCATCCTACTCCCGCCAGTCCTTCAAGAGGCACGGCAACTGTTGCTTCTAAGTGTAATCGTGTATGTAGCTGATGTTAGGCTCTCAAAATAGAGCACACTGGTGACAGATTTGTGGGAATAAATAAGATTTCATTAAACTCACGGTCTCAGGTCTCAACCACACCCCCTTCTCAAAGTCCCCCATCCCCCCATCTCTCAGATTCTTACAAGAGCTCAGGAACAAGGGCGTCCCTTTATTTCATTTCCAGTCTCTGAAACTGGTAGCCTCGGTGAGAAAAAGATCGTCTCCGGGGTACAGTCGATCTCTGTCGCGGATCCGGGACCTCAGGGCGTCAAGACTGCGCCGCCGCAGAGGGTTGGGCAGGGAGAGGAAAGGTCAGAAGCTGCCTCATCCTTCATCTGCTTCCTCCCACCCCATTCCCCTCTCCCCAACCCCTCGCTACCTCTGCTGTTCCCAAGAGGAAAATTCCCTCTCCCACCTTCTGAATACAAGGTAAAGCGACCTCCCCCCCCCCCNAAACCTCTCCTGTGGATTGCTACATTTAATAGAAACTTGACATTCAGAGAGGTTAAGTAAGAAGCCCAAGGTTGCACAGCTTGGAAGAGATGGGGCAACGATCTGAAAACTGGTCCATCTAACACCAAGGCCCTTGCACTTTCCACTGCACCATGTTGCCATGGTGTCAAACATAACCATTAATCATAGGGGGTTCAAATAATTTTCAATACAAGCACTGCTTGATTAAGATATTTATACAACTTAATATGGAGAAAGCACATCCAAAAGCTTGGGTGCTTTGTATCTTGAGAAAGTTCACACAGTGCAAGTGTACCATTCCAGAGCAGACCTAAATCTCTTGTGCTCTGTAAATAGGTGTTTCAAGAAGTTGCTTAAATTGCAACAGTGTAGCAATCTGTCCAAATCTTGTGGATAGAGTGGTAGGATTTCCAGGGGGTGTCTATTAGTGACAGGAGAGGACAAGCTATCAAATCTGAGGGGTCCAGTATCAAAGTTCTGACATCCAAAACCGTTATCTCACCAGTTCTTCTCACTCTGCCCCAGGCCTCTGAACATAGGAAAGCATTTACCCAGACCACTACCATAGAGGGTCTCAGCTAAATGTCCAACCACATCTGCACAGTGGCAGCACCTCAGAAAATGTAGACCAGCCCCTCTTTGCTGGTCTGGATTGACTGAGGTGACTGAGATCCCAGTGGCCCTTTGGGACCTATGTCACTGTGCAATCACAGTGCTGAGCACTTGGAAAATCTCTGTTGCATGTTTGACTGGACTGCTGTGGCATAGACCAGATCTAGAGCAAGAGAGGGAGGAGAGTGGAGTGCAGAGTCAGAAGGCAGGCTGGAAAACCCTGGGTGTCCAACTGGCAAAAGGAGGCTGGAGAGAAGTAGATCAGGCTGGTGGCTATTATGAATTTGTGCAATGAAGGGAGCACTAAAACAGCCTGGAGGCCAGGGCTCAAATGTCAGCTCTGCCACTCTCAGGACAATTTTATTCAACTCTGAGTGTGTTAGTGCCCTCATCTATAAATTGGACACAATCATAATAGTATCTATCACATTTGATTGTCATGAGGATCGAATGAAATCATGGATATGAAAGCACTGTGAAAACTCTCATGGTATATAGAAATATGAGGTTATATGTTTANCCCTGTGGCAGTGGGTTGCCATGGGCTACCGTGTGTAGCCAGCAGCCAGCGTGAGCGGCCAGCAGCCAGCGTGAGCGGCCAGCAGCCACAGTGAGCGACCGTCCAGAAGCCGGCAACTGATGAGCCTCTCCAGGGAAGAGCGCAATGATGGTGCCAACTTGGGCAAGTGAAGCGACGTCCTCCACAACTAGATTGAAGAACAAAACGACAGCAACTTGTCTGTTCCCCTTCCCCAATCCCCCAGCACTGTTCCCATCCCCCCAATTCCCCAATAAAAGTCTTAAAAAAAAAAGAGTGAGGGGAGGTAGGCATCCAGGCTAGTAACCAATTACTAAAGTATGAGTGCAAGGCTGGCTGCATCAGAATCATTTGGGGGAGCCTGCTAGAAATGCAGATTCCTGGGCCTGGCCTCTGAGGGATTCTGATTTAGGAATAGGGCTGGGGGTGTGATTTGGGATTTTGGAATTTCAACTGGCACTGCAGTTGATTCTGAGGTATAGAGAAGATGGTGAATCAGTAAATAGACCTGCCTCCAATGTATTTGTTCATAGCATATGTGTGGTGAAAAGTATCTCCAGAGCAGATGTTCCTACCTGGGTCCATGATCTTCCTGAAATTGTATGGAAAGAATTTGGACTCTGTAGAACACAGAATAATGGCCACCCAAATATATCAAGTCATAATTTCTGGAACCTGTAAATGTTGTTACCTTATAAGGTAAAAGAGTCTTTGCAAATGTCATTAAATTAAGGCTCTTGACTGGAGGGATTATCCTGGATTATCTGAATGGACCCTAAATCTAATCACAAGTGTCCTTATAAGAGAGAGGAAGAGGGAGAGCTGATGCAACCAGAAAAAAAGAGAACGTAGTGTCAAGACAGAGATAGAGATTGGAGAGATACAGCTACAAGCAAAAGAAAGCTGGTAGTCACAAGAAACTGGACAAGGCAAGGAAGAGAGTACAGCCTTGCCCACACCTTGAATTCAGCCCAGAGAAACGGATCTTCTGGCCTGAACTTCTGGCCTCCAGAACTCGGAGATAATAAATTTATCTTGTTTTCAGCCACCAAGTTTGTGGTGATTTGTTACTGCAGCCACAGGAAATTAATACAGACTGTATTTTTCTGAATCCATAGCTTTGTAGATTTCTAAATGGGTTGGTGGCCCAGTACTAGTTAAAAACCGCTCCCCTGCAGTCTTTCTTCATTAATATCTTACTCTCTCAATTTGTACTTGAGGAAGGAGTGTGAGAAATGAAGCACAGTTTGACTAGAGTACTGAACCATAGCTCTCTGCCATGAAACATAGCTCTTCCATTTCCTTGATCAAGGATAGGTTGCTAGGTGATTCTTCTGTAAGCTCTTGAAGGCACTTCACCTGTGCTAGCATTGGCATCACTGGCTGTAGAGAAGGAGCAAGTCCATGAAAATAGCATGCAGAGCTGTCCAAAGTGAATGGGTCATGAAGCCAGAGGTTCTATGTCAGCCTGAGCTGACATGATAAAGTACCACAGACTGGAGAGGGGCTTAAACAACAGGAATTAATTTGCTCACAGTTCTGGAAGCTAGAAGTCCAGTTCAAGGTGCTTTTTTCTGCTGCCCACTGAGACAAAAGAGCATGACGCACAGGCCTGCGTGGCCCGCAGGTTTGGTTTTTTTCCTGAGACCTCTCTCCTTGGCTTGCTGCCTCTTCACAGGGTCCTCCCTCTGTGCATCCAGTCCTGATATCCAAATTTCCTCTTCTTATAAGAACCTCAGTCAGATTGGATCAGGACCCACGCTAATGGCCTCATTTTCACTTAATCACCTCTTTAAAGGCCCTATTCCCAAATACAGTCACATTCTGAGGTACAGGGTTAGGGCTTCACATGTGAACTTTGGAGGGACATAATTCAGCCCACAACACTCTATTTTCCCTTACTTCTGGTTCTGGGAAAGCATGCTTCTTTCACTCATGTGGAGTGTAGCTAGGAGGTCCCTCTGGGGCTTTTTGGGGGTCAGAGTGGTGGTGTCATGCATTGCACAAGTGAACTGCCCAAGTACAAAGTTGTTGCTGTTGTTTGCTCTTGACTACTGATGCTTGGAAGTGAGGAAACAATCTGGTGCCCTTTGGCTGCCTTTGGGGTCGTTTTTACCTTGCCAAAGTACTTATTTCATCTACTCCTTTCTGCTTTCTTATTTCCAACCCCAATGCTTAGCACTCCTTAGAGTAGACAACCCAAACTTGGGAACGAAGCACTTTTCATCTCAGGATTGTGGATAGAACAGTGGGATGTGGTGGTGGTGGTGGTGGAAGAGGGTGTAGGGTGGTAGAGCTAGAGAGAAGGCAGGTTGGTCACTTTGCAGAGTCAGGGGTGATGCTGGCAGGAGCCTATGGGTTACCTTTAGAATCTTCCTTCGGCTCCTCAGCACTATGACATCTGACCCTGGCCTCTAAGCAGATTCTTGTTCTGAATTTATATGGCTTCATCACCAAATCAGGTGATCTGCAGTTGGACCTGGTGGCATAAAAAAATACAAAGACTAGACATTAGATCTCTGACAAAAATGCTGAAAGGAAATGGATTGTGTAGCAGGTACCTGGGTTGGGTCATTAGAACAAAGAGAGGGCCTCTCCATGCAGGGCTGGGAGGAGCATTTTCTAAACTGGCTCTAGTTGGATATCAAGCATCCCTGATATCTAGTCTCATGTTTTGGGGTGTTGGGGGACACCTCTGATTGCAAAGATTCAGGCCCTGGTGGCTTTAAAGAGGCCACATTTTATTTTCCAGTTGCAAAAGCATAAACCTTAAAAACCTAAAGGTTAAAGCTAAAGCTTTCCGTTGAAACAAAAATAGCTACCTTTGGCTGCCTGCCTCCTTTGTGCCAAGAATTTTTCATCCATTATCTCATCATTTAAGTGTCTCTAGCAACCCTATTAAGATAGACATCATTTTCCCACTGAAAGAGCTGAGGACATGCAGCCACTTCACACTAGGGTTTTGGCTCATTGGAAGTCAAAGCCCAGATGAGGATGCTTATGGGAGACCCTGCCCACACTAAGCTGGGGTTCCAAGGGTGGAATCTTTCGAGAAAATACTCAACAAGAGGGTAAAATAAAGACATTTTTAGACAAACAAATACTAGGAGAGTTTGTCACCAGTCGACTGAACTAATGGAAACTCTAAAGGATGTACTTTAGGAGGAAATGATCTTAGAAGAATGAACTGCCAGAAGGAATGAAGAGCAAGGAAAATAATAGTACGTGGGCAATGTCAGTCAACATCGATGGAAGAAAGAATCTTTAAGAAGTCTATCCTGTTTTTTAAAAATAAACTTTTAAGGACTGTACAATAAGAAAAGAAGTCAGGAAGGGCATACATGAAGTTGAACTTTTCTAAGGGGCTTGTATCATATTGGAATTGATTTAGGTATTTATTAAATTTATACTTTGATAAGGTAAATCTGTATGTAGTAATTAATAGGATGTAGCTATTAAAATAATAGAATCAGGATATAAAATTCCAAACTAGTAGAGAGGGGAAATAATTGAATACTTTTTAAAAATATTCAATTAAAAAAAAAACTCAAGAAAGAAGAGGTGAAAGAAACATAGGTAGGACCAACACAAGCAAAAAACAAAATGATAGCTTGAAACCCAACCATATCAATAATTTTATTAAATGTTTATGAGCTTCATGCTCAAATTAAAAAAACAAATATTATCAAATGGGATTAATAAATACACCTCTATGCTGTTTAAGAGGGAAATATCTAAAATATAAGGATACAGTTAGGTTGCCAGTATAAAGATGGAGAGAGATAAATCACACAAATAATATATAAGTGACCGAAAACTTGTATAGCTATATTCATATCTGACAAAATACACTTAAAAGCAAAAAGCATTATTAGAGATAGAGAATGTTATTTCATATGATAAAAGGTTCAATTCACCAGGAATGACTTTCTATTTATAACATGACCTCAAAATATATAAAAGAAAATTAACTTACTAAAAGGAGAAACAGATAAATATATAATCAGAGTAGGAGGTCTTACCACACTTCTCTCAGTAGCTGATCAAGGAGACAAAAAAAGTCTCTAAGGATACAGAAGTTTTGAACATTATGATCAATAACTTGAGCTAACAGCCAATGCATAGAACACTGCAACCATCAACTATAGAATACACATACAAAATGTTTTTAAAATTTGACCATATATTAAGCCAAAAGCAAGTCTTAACATTTTTTTAAAAGATTTTATTGGGGAATTGGGGAAGGGGAACAGCCAAGTTGTTGTCCTTCAATCTTAGTTGTGGAGGGCACAGCTAGCTCAGCTTCAAGTCCAGTCGCCATCCAGCCGCCCATCGGCAGCTCGCAGCAGTTCAGCTCAAGGTGCTGTGTTCAATCTTCGTTGTGGGTGAGCACAGCCCACCATCCCATGCGGGAGTCTAACCAGAAACTTTGTTGTTAGGAGCACGTGCTCTCACCAGCTGAGCCATCCTGCCACCTGTTGGAGCTCAGTGGCAGCTCAGTTCGGGTGCAGCTCACTGGCCCTTGTAGGAACCAAACCGGCGACCCTGTTGCTCAGAGCTCACAAGCTCAACCAACTGAAAGACAACTGGAAAATTTCTGTATGTTTTAAAACTAAGACACACTCTCTGAAATAACTGATGGGTCAAAGAAAAATGATGGTGGAAATTCACTCAATCAAAACTTGTGTGAGGCAGCTAAAGCAGTACTTAGAAAGAAAAATTATCTCTCATCAATGATGAAAACCCGAAAGTTAATGAGTTAAGCATTCATCTCAAGATTTGGGGGGAAAAAAACAAACCAAAAAGATAGATGCAACAAAATTAGGAAAACATGAAATCATAAAGATAAGAACAGAAATTAATGAAATAGAAAGCAATAAATATAACAAGTCAATAATGTCCTCTCTTGACACTTCTTTTCAACATTGTACTGGGGACTCTGGCCAGAGAAACTAGGCAAGAAGAAGAAATAAATGTCATCCAAATTGGAAACAAAGAAAGAAGTAAAACTATATCTATTTGTAGATGACATGATTTTGTATATAGGAAATCCCTAAAAAAAACTACTAGAGTGAATAGATTAGTTCAGCATGATTTTAACATGCATGATCGATATACAAGAATCCTATTATTTTCCGATAGATTAGCAATGAACAATCCAAAAATGAAATTAAGAAAACAATTCCATTTCCAGAAAAGTATTTATGAACAAATTTTTAAAAAGATGTGCAATACTCTACACTGAAAACCACAAAACATTGTTGAAAGAAATTAAACATCCAAATAAATGGAAAGCTATTTAATCTTCCTGCTTTGAAAGACTTAATATTGCCAAGGTGGTATTCTATAGATTTATTTTATGGCTTCACTGTAACCCCTATCATAATCCCAGCTGGTTGCTTGGTAGAAATTGACAAGCTGATGTAAAATTCATATGGAAATGCAGAGGACCCAGAATACCCAAAACAATTTTGAAAAAGAAGGACAAAGTTTGAAGATGCAACACTTTCCAATTTCAAAACTTATAAGAAGCTACAGAATCAAGACTGTGTGTTACTGGCATGAGAATAGACATACAGATCAGGACAGAATAAAATTAAGAGTCCAAAAATAAACCCATATATTTATGGTCAATCAATTTTCAACAAGGGTAACAAGACCATTCAATGGGGAAAAAGAATAGTCTATGCAACAAATTATACAGGGACAGCTGTATATCCACGTACAAAATAATGATGTTGGACCTCTACCTCACACCATGAACAAAAATTAGCACAACATAGATCATAGATGTAAATATAAGAGCTAAAATTGCAATCCTCTTAGAAGAAATCATAGAAGTAAATATTTGTAACCTTGAGTTAGGCAAAATCTTATATGACAGCAAAACACAAGCAACAAAAGAAAACATAGATAAATTAGACTTAATCAAAGTTTAATACTTTTGTGCATCAAAGAACACTGTCAGGAAAGTTAAAAGACAATCCACAGAATGAGAGAAAATATGTGCAAATCACATACCTGATAAGGGACTTGTACATAGGTTATATAAAGTACATTACAACTCAAAAATAAAAAGACAGCCCATTTTAAAAATAGGCAAAGGACCTGAATAGACATTTCTCCAGGAAAGATATGCAAATTGATAATTAACACATGAAAAGATGCTCAACATCATTAGCCATCAGGGAAATGCAAATCAAAACTACAATGAGATACTACTTTATACCTACTAAGACATCTATAATAAAAAAAAAGAGACAATAGCAAGTGTCAGCAAGGATATGGAGAAATTGGAATCCTCAAATATTGCTGGTGGGAATGTAAAGTTGTGCAGATGCTTTGGAAAACAGTCTGGTATGTTCTCAAAAGTTTAAGTACAGAATTAATATATCATTCGACAATTCCGCTGCTAGTTGGAGAAATAAAGAGAAATAAAAACCCAAGAGAAGTAAAAATGTATGTCCATACAAAAACTTGTACACGAATGTTCATAGCAGCATTATTAGAAATAGCCAAAAAGTGGAAAGAACACAAATGTCCATCAACTGATGGATGGATAACAGGAATGAAGTACTGATGCATGCTACAACGTGGATGAACCTTGGAAACGTTATGCCACATGAAAGAAGCCGGTCACAAAAGACCACATATTGTATGCTTCTGTTTAAATGAAATGTTTAGAATAGTCAAATCTGTAGAGACAGAAAGTATATTAATGGTTGCTCGGGGCTGGGAAAAAGGAAATGACTTTTAATGGATTCAAGGTTTCTTTCTGAGGTGATGAAAATGTTCTAAAATTNCCCACCCATTATATTTCCCCCGGAAAATCGTCAGCCTACCAGCTCTGCAATCAGCTGCACAGAATTCAAGTTCGGATTCGGCTTTGACGGCCTGCCACCGAGAAAGGGACTAGGAGTTGGACATGCACACCCACATATTCCTCTCCAGGAAGAGATGAGATGCAAAGGGGGTTCAAGGCAGACAGCCAGCGATTCTCTCCCCCCGCTGCTTGCCTCCCCCCCCCGAAAACGCCCCCCTTTCAATCCAGGCAAATCCTACCCACTGGGCACCATCCAGTGGCACCCCCACCTCCTCCCTCAGCGCAGCCGGGCCATGGGAGTTCTCCTAGCCCAGCCTCGCAGTTATCGATTTTCCAAGCAGGAAGCCGCTGAGTCCTAATGGGGCTTCCTCCTCCTCTCTCCGCGCCGGGCAATCGCGCCCCCCTTTCTTTACCTGTGCGCGGCCGGTGAGCAGCGGACGTTCAGGTGTGACAGCTGTGGATGCCGCCTTCGGTCTCTGCGGCCCTGCAGTGGGAAAGGACGGAACTCCCTCGCCGCTCAGCGACCCGGGGCTGCCCCACGGAGCTGTTCCGCACGTCTGTCCAGCGAGGGGGAGCGGAGAAGAGGCTGCACGGTTCCCAAGGCAGCCGCGGCTGCTTTCGTCCTCTGCCCACTGTGATGAAAGGGCATGACGCGCGGCCCAGAGCGGCCAATCAGCGAGGCGGCGGGTGGAGTGGGGGCGAAGGGGACGGGTTCTCCGCGGAGCCTCCGGCCCTACACAAATTATACCCGAGGCGGAGGCGGGGTGGGGGGGAGGCACAGGTCAGCCAGACTTCAAGAGTTTGCAGCTCTTCCCTTCTCTCTGTATCCCTTGGCTCAACTCTGCACCTTGAGGCCGGGTGCATTAAACACGAGGTGGAATAGAAGGTAAATAAACAATAAAAGTACGTGAGTACTTCACCTTTGTATAGGAGAAAGTGAGAAAAAATGAACATTAGCGCGCTTTCTTTGTGCAAATAGGATTGCACAAACATCTACTCTTTTACTGTGAAGGAGGTGGCAGCATGTCCATTTAAGAGTGAGCGGAGGGCCGGCCGAGTGGCGCGATGGTTAAGAACTCGCTTGGGACGCCAGAGGGCCCAGGTTCGGATCCCACATATGAGGGCCAGTGAACACTGCCCTCCACAGCTAAGATGCTGAACAACAGCTCAACCTGGAGCTGGGCTGCCGTGAGTCGCTGGCGACGGCATAGGCTGCAGTCCCT